CTGGCGTCCCAAGCCAGCTCTTAACCATTGCGCCACTTGGCCGGCCCTTGTTTTGCATTTTAACTGGAATTGCATTATATCTTTATTTCAGGAGAATTGAGTGTTTTTTAGGATATTAAGTTTTCCCATGTAAGAACATGTTATCTTTCTTTTTGTTTGGAGCCTGGTTTTATGTCCTTAACTAAAGTTTTATAGATTTCTTCATGTAGGTCCTGTGCCATTTTTTTTGTGTGCCACTCTTATTAAACTTATTCCCAAATCTTTTATTTATTTTTTAAGCTGAGCCATCCTGCGACCTGTTCGCAGCTCAGCGGCTGCTCAGCTCGGGCCGGGAATCGAACTGCTGTTGCTCAGAGCTCAAACTCTTGAGCGAGCTCTTAACCAACTGAGCCACTTGGCCAGCCCTGCTTTTATTTTGAATGGAATATTTTTAAAATTTCTCAATCCTTTTGCTATAAGGTAAAAATATTTCTCTATTATCCATTTACCCTACTAAATTATCTTAATTCCATCAGATCTCTATTATGTCTTAAGGTTTTAGGCACATCATGATCTAAAAGGTAGATATTTTAACCAGTGTTTATCCTCTTGAATGCCCTAAAACCATCATTAGTAGGCATCCTTGTTTAGTTCTTGATTCTAACTGAAATTACCTTAGTTTAACCATTAGGATACCTATTGGTATTCCATTACTGTTTTAATTAAATTTCTTTAAAAGAATGGCTGCTGAAATTTAATCAAATTCCTTTCAGCATCTGTTGATATGATCATATTTTTCTTCCTTAATTTGTTGATGTAATGAATTATATGTTGATAGATTCTCTATTAAACCAACTTTGTGCTCCTGGAATAAACCCTACTTGGTTATAGTGTTAATATTCTTTTGACTCATCAATGTATTTCTGGTACTATTTTGAGATACTGCATCTATGTAATTAATTTGACTTCTAGTTTTTTAGTCTTTATCAGTTTTTAATATTAATGCAACCACAACTAATTTATACGAATTAGAAATTTCACTCTTCTCTTATGGCTCAGGATAGCTTAAATAACATTTGGTCCTTGCTCTTTTTTCCCCATCAAGTGCTAGAATTTTTCTTTTTTAAGCCCTTGCTTTTGGATTTATCCTTTCAACCAAGTTTGCTTCATTTCAATAATTTGTATCTTTTAAGTTTTAGGATGCATGCTAGGCTTCTTTAAAAAAAAAAAGAAAGCATTTATGGCTATATAATTTCCTCAGAAAACTTTTGGTGGGTCTCATAGATTTGGGGACCCTGAGTTCCTGAAATCAGGGAGATTAAGTTTTCTAAATTATTTCATACCTTGATTGGACAGGGTTTGGGCTCTTTTGAGTTCGAGGGCAGGAGACATGTATGCCATATGCCCCAGAGCTTAAACAATGGTGAACACAGAGTAAGGCACCAGCAAACAACTGCTTACTAGATGGGTAGATGATTCAACACACCAGAGGGAAGTTAGCAGGTAGGACCAGAGAGGTTAAGGACTCATTAAAAGTCACACAGCACATAGCAGAGCTGGTTTGAAAACCTGGGCCTCATAGTTCTCAGGCCAGTAACCTAAATTATGGAATAATTTAGAAAGCTTACCAGTTCACAAAGAAGGGATTAGCAGAGCCAGGATGGATCTGCTTTCTGGAGTACAGCAGTAATGAAACAGAGTAGGGACACATCTAGGGAAATGTGAGAGTAAGGGGTGCTGGATGCTGGTCAGAAAAGGAGTTTCAAGGTGACTGTCTACAGGAATGGGAGGGAATGAGTTGCAAGAGCTCTGGTTTGCCAAGGGCCTGGTGGGGAAAGATGATGAAATTAAAGGTCTCTGAAAGAGGTGGTTCTGAGTTTCCTGGGAGTGATGCCATTCCTCAGAAAGAAATAAGGTAGTTTTGAGGCCAGGGAGGCTGGTAGCTTCATAGCCATTTGGGATCCTCAGAGCAAGCCAAGGGACTCCCACTGGCATTTTAAGCCTGGTTGGTAGGCTGAGAGGACAATGGCCCAGAAACCTCTCTGGATCTTAGCACTTCTCCCTCCTCCCCCAGAGAGGAGGCAGGACAAGCCCTGTCCCCACTGTCTGGCCACCTCCCTAAACATTGGCTTAGGCAGTAGTGGGTGATGGGGAGAGCTTGCCCCCAGCCCCCCTCCCTGGGAGCCAACAGCACTGAGGAACAGGATGGGGGGTGGACAGAGCTGAGCTCCCCAACCTCTCCTCCCTACCCCAAGAAGCCCTTTGAAATGTTTTCCTGGCAGAGTCTAAAGCTTCGATTCATTCAATTGCCTGGCATGAAGCCCAGGATGAGGGGATGCTGGGAAGGCCCTAGACCCACATCCTAGCCCTCACCTTAGCTGCCCCTACTTCCCAGGGACCTCTGTTGGCAGGCCTCCCCTTAGGCTCTCTCTCCTCATTCAATAGTACCCCCACCCTCTTTCCCCTGGGGAACCCAGGTATCCTGCCCCTTCCCTGTGGAGCAGATGGCCACCCCAGAAACTCAGGCCTGCTAAATCAGACATTTAAATCCCATAATCCTCGGTGAGAGGCTGACAAGGCGGCAGTAGCCCAATCCTAGAAGCAGGGGCAGAAGAGAACCTTGTGCCAGCCCTGGCAGGAGGAGAGGAGGGACAGTTGGTTCCAGAGTTATAAATGGAGTCACCCCCTCCCTTGTTGTCATGCAGCCTGCGGACTGACCCAGTCTCCAGCTTTTGTTCTTCTCCCGGAACCAGGGTGTTGGGCACCCCCAGCCCACATTCCCTGGAGACTCACTCAGGTGGCTGCTTCCCAATGTCACCTCCTTAATTCACCCCTGCGTTGCAGGCCCTAGGCAGCCTGCACTGGCACGCGCCCCTATGATACACAGGTAGTAGCAAAATTTTATTGTAAAGTTAAGAAAACAATAAAAAAAATGTTATATAAAAAGGGACGAGAAGGAGTGTGGGTGAGGAATACAGATGTGCCTTGCAGAGTGCAAAAGAAATTAACACTGAGCATCTGGAGAAAGTAAAACAGATCTTAGATACAGTTCCTACATCAGGGATGGAATGATCCAGGGTGTGGGATAGGGCGAGATTGCTTAGGTGCTGAGATTCACCAAGAGGTTAGACAGGATTTGGTCAGATGAACAGAGAAGGGACTTGGAAATTCCCTTCTCAGTCACAGAAACCATCAACCCATCCACCAACAAGGACAGGGAACCAGCACTCCCAAGGGTGTCAAGTCCCAGATATGAGGTCTGACAATTAAGTTTGTGAACTCATCCTAGAAAATAGAAAAAGTGCTACATACCTCATTGCTGAATATCACTACAGTCATCTTCGAAGTACTCCTCTTGGGAAGCTATGCACTGATGCTAGCACCTACCACCCTTCAAAGCAATTTTGGAACTCTTTTTCTGGAATGGCCATCAGAGCTGTCGTCATATTACCCTTGATGTCCTGAATGTCATCAAAATGTCTTCCTTTCAATATTTCCTTTATCTTCAGGTAAAGAAAGGAGTCATCGGGGGCCAGATCAGGTGAGTAGGAAGAGTGTTCCAATACAGTTATTTGTTTGCTGGCTAAAAACCCCCTCACAGACAGTGCCGTGTGAGCTGGTGCATTAAAGAGCCATGAATTGTTGGAGAAAAGTTCAGGTCTAACTTTTCACGCAGCCTTTTCAGCACTCCCAAATAGTAAACTTGGTTAACTGTTTGTCCAGTTGGTACAAATTCATAATGAAGAATCCCTCTGACATCGAAAAAGGTTAGCAACATTGTTGAACCAGTTTGTGAACTTAATTGTCAGACCTCGTATACATTATTTCATTAACTCTCACAAAAAAACCCTGTGAGGTAGGTACGATTATTGGCATTTTATCAATGTGGACTATGAAGTTAGAAGAAATTCAGCTGAGATAGCTTCCAACCCAGTGGGGACGGCTGATTTAAAACCTAACCCTTACATGCAGGAAAATTTACCTCCCAAATGGTCTTCATAGAGAAAAACCTTAAAAGCTAAGCTGAAACAAGCTCCCCTCACCTCCCCAAAAAACCACCAGTGCAGGCCAACTTCTTTAGCAGAGCCCTGGGCCAAGGCAAATGGGATTCTGTGGTGTTTCTGAGGCACACCTGTACCAAGCAGAAATTTAAGCTCCTGAGTCCCCAAAAATGCCAAAGGTAGATGAGGGTGGGGGTGTCAGTGGGGGCAGGAAGCAGAGGATGTCAGTCTGAGTCAAGTCCTTCCCTCTTGAGCATGAGTTTTTTATGACGGGAAGTAGATTGCCCCTTCTTAGACTTCAGATGGCTGTGGGGAAGATAGAAGGGGAAGGGGGAAGAGATGATGTTATCTGAGAGGCTCAGGACTACTCTTCCTAGATCTAAGCTTTGAGGAGCCTAAGTTAAAACGGTCACCACCAATTGCAGACTTGTTTACTGAACACCTGGGGTACTGACATGTGTTAATCTTTTAATATTCCATTACCTCATTTGACAAATGAGTAAACTGAGCTTTAGAGGGGGAGTAACAAGGTCACACAGGACTTGACAGTACTTGGCAGGGCTGAAGATCTGACCTCAAACCCCAGCCCTGAACTAGAGGTTACTGGAAATGGCAAAGAAATATCTATGCTCACATCGGGGGTTTGTGGATACTCCCAAAGCTGGAAAATGGTTGCATGATACAACCAGAGGAAGACTAAAGAATGTTCCGGCAGGGCCAGAGTCCAACGGGAAGGGAATCAGTTGCCTTTTACCTTGAAGGTAGGATTAGAATGGAATCCCAGGCTTTCCAACATAGGAAGGCAGGAGAATGGGGCTGGGAGGAGACATAGGTCACTCACCTGGAGTGAGCCCTGCTTCCCCCTGACTCCTTTCCAGCCTGGGCATCCTTCAGCTCCAAGGCCTCATTCAGTTCTTGAAACATCTCGAAGCGTTCACGCCCACGGATCTGAGGCGGTGAAGAGGTGGATAAAGAAGTATTAGGCAAAGTCATAAAACCATTTTCATGCTCTCTAACAATTTTGTTTTGAAAAACGACCCTTTAAAACGTAGGTTATGGGGTCGGTCAAGTGGCTCAGTTGGTTAAGAGTGCGAGCTCTGAGCAACAGGTTGCCAGTTTGATTCCCACATGGGCCAGTGAGCTGCTCCCAAGCTGAGCTGCCAATAGGTGGCTCAGCTGGTGAGAGCACGTGCTCCTAACAATAAAGTTGCGAGGGGCTGGCCAAGTGGTGCGTTGGTTAAGAGTTGGCTTGGGACTCCAGCTCTGAGCAGCAGGGCTCTGGTTCGGATCCCACATGAGGGCCAGTGACGCTGCGCCCTCTACAGCTAAGATGGTGAACAACAGCTCGACCTGGAGCTGGGCTGCTGTGAGTCACCGGTGACAGCGTAGGCTGCAGTGGGCTGCCATAAGCTACCGTGAGTGACTGGCAGCAGGTGTAAGCTGCCAAAAGCCACCGTGAGCGGCTGTCCAATGGCTGGCGACCGATCTGACTCAATCGGGAAGAGCGCAATGATAATACCAACATGGGCCAGTAAATCGACGTCCTCCACAACTAGACTGAAGAACAAAAGGACAGCAACTTGTCTGTTCCCCTCCCCCAATTCCTCAATAAAACCTTAAAAAAAAAAAAATAAGGTGGCCGGTTTGACTCCCACATGGGATGGTGAGCTATGCCACCAGCAACTAAGATTGAGCACAGCACCTTGAGCTGAGTTACCCTGAGCTGCCGACGGGCAGGTGGATGGTTCAGTGGTTAGAGCGTGCCCTCTTAGCAAAAAGGTTTCTGGTTCGACTCCTGCATAGGATGGTGGGCTACGGCCATCCACAACTAAGATTGAAAATGGCACCTTGAGCTGAGCAGCCACGAGCTACAGTCAGGAGGCCGGATGGCAACTGGACTTGGAGCTGAGCTAGCTGCGCCCTCCACAACTAAGATTGAAGGACAACAACTTGGCTGTTCCCCAACACTGTTCCCCTTCTCCAATTGCCCAATAAAATCTTAAAAAAACCCCAAAAACGTAGGTTATGGTACAAGGTGGCTTTTTTTTTTTTTTAAAGATTTTATTGGGGCATTGGAGGAGGGGAACAGCGCTGGGGAATCGGGGAAGGGAAACAGACAAGTTGCTGTCCTTTTGTTCTTCAGTCTAGTTGTGGTGGACGTCGCTTCACTGGCCCATGTTGGTATTGTGATCATTGCGCTCTTCCCGGGTGAGGCAGATGGGTTGCTGGCCATTGGACGGTGGCTCATGGCGGCTCACAGAAGCTCACGAGGGCTGCTAGCCACTCACGGTAGCTTATGGCAGCCCACTGCAGCAGGGGCTGCAGCCTACGGCAACTCATGGCAGCCCAGCTCCAAGTCCAGCTGTTGTTCACCATCTTAGCTGTAGAGGGCAGTGTCACTGGCCCTCATGTGGGATCCGAACCGGGCCCCTGCCACTCAGAGCTGGTGTCCAAAGCCAGCTCTTAACCGATGCGCCACTTGGCCGGCCCCAAGCTGGCATTTTTAATTTAGGCACAACCAGGAGCTATTGTCTCTAGGCACCACTGCACCCCAATGGCAAATGCCCTAATTGTAGGGAGAGCGGCCCGGAAGAATATAGCATTTTGAAACCTAATCGTAAGAGTCTGGGCTGAACTTCATATTTGCTACATCTACATCTTTTCTTCCCTTATCCAATCCCACTGAGTAGGGGCAAGAAACCGCATATCTGTCTCTCCCAGACTTGGTACCTGAAGGGTGAAATATTCTCCATCCCGTGGCACCTTTGGCGGGGGAGAGGAGCTGGTGTTGTTGGGCAGTGCTGGGAAAGAGGTAAGGAAAGGTGAGAAGAGTGAATCTGGGGCAGAGCTGCATCCTTTTCACCTCCTCCACTTCCTCTTGTCCTGCCTTCTTACCTCGCTTACTGCTCCCAGGGGGCTGCTTGGGACAAGGCTCCCCTTTCTTGCGGAAATTTTCTTCCTCTGTACGACGGTCTCTCCCTGGACAGGCGCAAATGCGCACCTCGAAGCTGTTCCGTCCCAGGAGAGTACCACTATCCAGGTAAGAGGGAAGCAGGAGGCAGTAAGAAAAGTGGGCACCACCTCTGTTCTATAAGCCAGGCCCTACCTACTCCTAACCACCTTCATCTTACGTAAAGCCTAAGCTCCAGGCATATGGAAGAGAAGCCACAGGTAAGAGAGGTCGAAAAGGCAGAGAAAAGAAAACTGGGAGGGGGCAGCAGAGGAAGTTCTATATATGGGGATAGGAGTGAGAGGGAAGGATGGCTTGTAGTACAGGAGGACATGGTCAAGGGGCAGAGCTCAGGGTACAGAGACAGGCAGAGGCTAGGGAGGATCGTGCCAGTGTGAAGGGTGGTGTGTGGGTACTTACCTGGAGTCTTCTAGTGTGATTATGGTGAGGATGGGCCGCCGGTTCATACCCCCCATACAGGAGCTGTTACACATGAAGTTGTAGTGGATGGTGGTACAGTCAGAGCCCACCTGGGAGAGAACAGCAGCCTAAGGTGAGTCCAACCAGCCCTGGTAAGGCCTGAAGCCCCTGGAAGTGGTAGTTTCCTCAATTGTGGAATGGCGATAACCCCATCTGTTGCTCTGCACACCTTATAGGTTTGTGGAGTGGTTGAATAAGATGCAAGAGAAAGCTCCCCTATCTCCCACCTGGATGGCCACTGAAAAACCCCTCCAGCCCCCAGTTGCCAAACCAGACCTCAGGCGGCTCATAGGGCACCACCACACTATGTCGAAAAGTGTTTTTGTCGTCCAAATACTCTGCACGCAAATTTCCTTCCACCCGGATAAGATGCTGAGGAGGGGCCAAACCTAAGAGCAATTGGGAAGGTATCAGAGGCTTGGGGACTCTGGGCACCAGCCCTTTCCCACTTACAGTCCCTGACTGCTCACCATCGCTATTGTCAGAGCAGCGCTCATGGTGGGGGCAGCGCCTCACAACCTCTGTCATGTACTCGGACTTCTTGTAGATGGCCATGGCTCGGACACGGGTGCCAAGTGGGGGTGGGGAGCTGACCCACAGCTGTACGGGGCAGGTTTTTGCCAACTGGCAAAACAGCTTATTGAGGGTAGGGGAGTACTGTAGGAAAAGAAGAAAGAATGAATGGAAGGTCAAGGGACAACAAGTACCCCGGGGATCAAATGAACAAATATTGCTGAAGTATGAACTGGAAGCCATGTATGGTGTGGGGAGAGTAGCCAGAGATAGCAGAGACAGCTTAATTGTAAAAGCTAAGGAATGAACGAGAGTGAAGAAAAAAGAAAAAAAGTTCCATGGCCCTATGAGAGATGCTAAGCGTATGATGAGGACAATGAAAGCCCAAAGTCAAGGGGGAAAATTCAACATTGGGACAGGGTTCAAAGGTCACAGACCAAATAGGTAAAATGTAGAAAGACAAGAAGCAAAAGGCTGAGAAAAATTCCAGTGTCCTGAACAGAAAAACCCAGGGGAACATGGTCAGGCATCGAACACAGAAGCCAGCCCCTCAGGGTCACTGACCGTGCAGGTTACAGACTTGGCTGTCCCAGAATTCAGGAATCCTAATTGGAAACCATAGTTGCCAGGATATGTCTTCTGGGAAGGGACAAAGGATGACAAAGGCCAGGAATTGGCTGGTGCAGGGGAGGTGGTTGGTGCAGGGGTGGCAGCTGCAGGTGCAGGAGTTGCTGGCATACTGGCGGCTTCATTTGCACCTTCGTCCACCCAGTTCACAAGGTCTGGGGACAGCAGCAGTTCATCCACTGTTAGGGATATGTCAGGGGACTGTGAATGGGAGAAATAAGAGTCAGAGGGCCAGATTCCCCAGCCCCTGGCCCCTTCCAACCCGCAGTTCTTACCAGAACATTGTCATCAGGAAGTCTGAAAGATAAGAGCAAAAAGTCAGTACTGGTTTTTGTTTCCTATAGGCTTCTACTAGGGGGCTGGGGAATGGGATGGGGTAGGCAGGGTAGGGCAGTGGTTATTAGAAGCCGGGCAGTGAACCTGCCCCTCCAAAAAAACCTCTACTCACAGTTTCCAATAGTCTGAAAATGTCTCCTGACTTAGAGGGGACTCCATATTGAGTTCTGACTGTGGTACCTCCATTGCAGCTCCCTGGAAGTGTGGCTGCTGTGGGGGGAAAAGTGAAGATCCAGCATAAGACACACTCAACCCCAGGTTACCCAGTACCAAGGCAGTAAGGCTCCCTTAGACACCATTCCAGAGTCTGAGACACAGGGGGTCCCTTGACTTTCTGAGGAGTAGGGTTGCTCCTGCCCTACCCCTCACCACACACCACCTTGAGAAGAAAAGGTAACCAGAGAGGGACTTCCAACCTTTCTACCACTGAATCAACAAGCCTTCCTGAAGTGTACCTTTCTTCTCTTCTCCTTCCTGCTACTAGTAAGGATGGATTAATTTTTTTTCTTAAAGATTTTATTGGGGAATTGGGGGAGGAGAACAGACAAGTTGCTGTCCTTTTGTTCTTCAGTCTAGTTGTGGAGGATGGCTCTTCCCGGGTGAGGCAGTCACTCGCTAGCCATTGGATAGCCGCTCACAGTAGCTCACAGCACCCCAGCTCCAGGTTGAGCTGTTGTTCACCATCTTAGCTGTAGAGGGGGGAGAGTCACTGGCCCTCATGTGGGATCCTAAGCGGGGCCCTGCTGCTCAGAGCTGCAGTCCCAAGCCAACTCTTAACCAACGCGCCACTCGGCAGGCCCAAGGATGAATTAACTCCTAGCCCACTTTATCTGGGGGAAGATACCTCCTTTGACCCCCACATTGCCCACCTGATCCCCTTTATCACAAAGCTTTCTGAAGAACCACTGTATCCTCTCTCATTCAGGCTTACAAATCCCTCATAACCAGTCCCTTGCCTGCCTATTTGTTCTCATCTCCTAGCACTCTCTCCCTTCCCTGATGCTCACGCTATACTGGCTGCCCTTCATGCACTCACCAGTTCACTCAATTGGTGGTTCCCTCTACTGGGAACGCTGGTCCTGCCATCACTGCAAGGTAGGCTCCTTCTCATTGAGACCTCATCTTGAATGTCACACCTCCTCTGGGATGTTTCCCCAGACCACTCAAAGATTGCCAGCCAAACCCCATCACCCTATTTTAATTCTCATGGTACTTAACAGTCTGATACATTTTCTTGTTCATTTCATCTGTTTCCTCTAGTTGAATATAAACTTCCTCTGGAAAGGGAAGTTATCAGTCTCATTCATCACAGTATTAGCATAAAGTCTTGCACCTGGTTGGGCTCACTGTTGAATAAGTGAATTGTTGTGCTCAGGCTGTGAGCAGTCAAAAGAGCAAGGAGGGCCTCTAGAGGGGTGGGGTGGCCTCAGTCCGGGCCAGGGCCCTGCACTAGACTCTGCTGCTGTCATCTCACCTTGTAAACCAGGTTTCAAATGGCTTCATCATCTTTCTTTCTTTCCTTTTTTTTAAAAAAGATTTTTATTGGGGAATTAGGGGAGGGGAACAGACAAGTTGCTGTCCTTTTTGTTCTTCAGTCTAGTTGTGGAAGACGTCGCTTCACTGGCCCATGTTGGTATTATCATTGCGCTCTTCCCGGGTGAGGCAGTTGCTCGTCGGCCATTGGATGGCCGCTCACGGCAGCTTACGAAAGCATACACCAGCTGCCGGCCAGCCCCACTGCAGCCTATGCCATGGCCAGCGACTCACGGCAGCCCAGCTCCAGGTCAAGCTGTTGTTCACTATCTTAGCTGTAGAGGATGCAGCATCACTGGCCCTCATATCGGATCCAAACCGGCCCTTGCCATCTTTCTTGATGCCAAATTTGTCATTAGCTTTGCTTAAGAAACATACCTGCTGTAAATTACTTTCCTGTCTTGCCCAGCACTGACGAACATCCTCCCAAGCAAGCAGTTGTTACTGGCTGGCTGTTTCTGGACTCTTTTTAAATCTCCCTTAAATTCACCTCTACTTTTAAGTTGACTGTCTTATGTTAATTAGTTTGCAAAATCCTTCCAAGCAGTTATCTTGTTTGTTCTGATAACCACACCTGACACTTGACAGGAGAGGAGAAAGCTGAGTTTCAGAGAGGTTAAGTGACCTCGCCCACAGTACACTTAGGAGAATGCATGAGCTTTCATTAAAAATGACCATTCAAACATCTAGGAGTATGATGCTTACTTCATCACAGACTACTCTGCAGAGATCTCTCTTTCATAATCATTTAAAGCTGGGGGTGCAGATTTCAGCTGACAAGTCATCCAACTGAGAGGTTGGCAAAAGGACATTTATCAGAATTTCCAGTGCTGATGGGGGATGGACTATGCAGGTGCATGGAAGGCAAGAGGGGAAAGAAGAGTGATCCCAAACATTTGCCTTGGTGTGGGGGCTGAGAAGTACCAGGGTTCCCCTGGATCATGATCAAAAGAACTTGGAGACTTTTATGGAAGGGAGCTCAAGTGAAGGGGGGGGGGTTGGGATTCAAAAGTCAAAAATCCTAGGGGTTTGACATACTATTTATTGTGACCAGACCTATCTCAACAGCCTAATTTTTTGGCTTCCTTACTTACAGTAACTGACTTTTACTCATCTTTGTTTTTAGTGCAAAGCATGGGCTCTGGAGGCAGACAGGCTAACGCCCTAGGCTTACTACCTAATAGCTGTGTAACTCTGGGAAATTACTTAACCTTTCTGTGCCTTAGTGTCCTTTGCTCTAAAACAGTACTCTACTTATGGGAAATGTAAAGAGCTGAGAGAAGTGCCTGGCACATAGTAGAAGGTTAACAAGTGTTTGTTTATACGATCATTCCATTTTATTTATTCTATATTATCATCCGAGTGAGAGCTTTGTGATTGTGAGTGGATGGGGCTTTTGTGGTACTGCCCCATTAATGCTGGTTTACCACTTTCAGGGAAGTCTGTTTAGTAAACATGCCAGGAGGTTCTGTTCTGGAATGGTGGGCCCAAGGTGTCAATCCCACTGGGAGTGAGACAGACACATGGACATAGGAGGCCTCCCTCTCTCAGTCTTTGGAGCAAACTAAATTCACAATGCTTCTTTCTCAAAAAAGCAGGCAGTCACTACTGGGAAATCTTTTCAGAGCAGGTACTTCCCCGGGGTATGAGCATCAGGGGGTCAGGATACTATAAACTGTAAGAAGCTGAACCAGACTTTCCAAAAGGTTGGGGCGGCAGGATGTTCGCACAGGCAGTCCCAATGGGAAGGTGATTAACTCAGTTGGGACTCTTAAGGAGGAGCAGCCCAGACAACTATCATAACAATGGCTGTTACTTAAAGGCCCCACTGGGCCCACTGCTTTTAGTAGCTTATCTCATTAATCCTCTCAAAAAGCTAGGAAGGTAGGTATTATCACCATTATAGGAATTAAGTCACTTAACCCAGGGTCAGAAAGCTCCCAAGGAATAGGGCCAGGGATTGGAACCTATGTAGTCTAAGGCCACACCTCTTAATAATTATGGCTCCTATGGCTTCACCCAGAGTCTGGTGTAAAAAAATTTTTTTTGGCTCAAAGGTATTTGATTGGAAAAAGGAAGAATAATTCTGGAAAGTAATAACGCAGTGTCTGATAAAAATGAATACACACACACGCCCTTTACTACTCGGCAAAACCGTTTCTGGGTAGGCTCCCAAGAAAAATGGTTGCACGGGAGCTGCAGGAGTCATGCACACAAATGTTCATGTCAGTGTTGTTCCTAATGGCAGGTGATAGGAAACAATTATTACTACCCATAAGTAGGGAATGGCAAAATTAAATGTTGCACAAGGCCTGACAATTAAGTTCGCGAACTGGTTGCTAACCTTTTTTGATATCAGAGGGATTCTTCATTATGAATTTATACCAACTGGACAAATAGCTAGTCAAATTTACTATTTGGAAGTGCTGAAAGTTTGCGTGAAAAAGTTAGACAACCTGAAATTTTCACCAACAATTCATGGCTCTTGCACCACAATAATGCACCAGCTCACACGACACTGTCTGTGAGGGAATTTTTAGCCAGTAAACAATTAACTGTATTGGAAGACCCTCCCTACTCATCTGATCTGGCCCCCAATGACTTCTTTCTTTACCTGAAGATAAAGGAAATATTGAAAGGAAGACACTTTGATGACCTTCTGGACATCAAGGTAATAGGACAGCTCTGATAGCCATTCCAGAAAAAGAGTTCCAAAACTGCTTTGAAGGGTGGAGTAGGCACTGGCGTCAGTGGATAGCTTCCCAAGGGGAGTACTTTGAAGGTGACCATAGTGATATTCAGCAATGAGGTATGTAGCACTTTTTCTAGGATGAGCTCGCGAACTTAACTGTCGGACCTCGTATACTTACTCACAAGTTTACTATAACAGTTTAAGTAAATGAATTTATCCGTATATGTGTAACCTGATATAGCTCAGAAACATGTTGAGTGAAATACACAATTTACAGAAAAAAGGCAAACACAGTAATGTAAACAGTTTATGCAAATTGAAAATACAAAATAACCAGTTGTTTGTAAACACATGTATGTAAAATATGAAAGACAGGCAAGAATAAAAATTCACAAAACTGGGCCGGCTGAGTGGTGCATTGGTTAAGGGTTGGCTTGGGGCGCCAGCTCTGAGCAGCGGGGCCCGGTTTGGATCCCACATTAGGGCCAGTGATGCTGCACCCTCTACAGCTAAGATGGTGAACAACAGCTTGACCTGGAGCTGGGCTGCTGAGTCGCCAGCTACAGTATAGGCTGCAGTGGGGCTGGTCGGCAGCTGGCGAGCACTTTCGTGAGCCGCCGTTCAATGGCCAGTGAGCGATTGCTTCACCCGCGAAGAGCGCAATGATAATACCACATGGGTCAGTGAAGCGACATCCTCAACTAGACAGAAGAACAAAAGGACAGCAACTTGTCTGTTCCCCTTCCCTGATTCCCCAACGCTGTTCCCCTCCCCCAATAAAATCTTAAAAAAAAAAATTCACAAAACTATGACAATGACGGTCTCAGAGAGGGGATACGTGTGCTTATGAAGCTGGGGGCATATAGTCAAAATAGGCTTTAGCTTTATTAATAAAGAAAAATTTAAAAAGATGGTAGCCATACATTACTTATGCAATTAAAATATGGACACAAATAAGACAAAATGTTATATTTGGTGGGGATATGAGTGTTGTGTGATTCTTGTACTTGTATTTTTCCAAAAAAAAAAAAAATCTATAAAAGAAAACCTTTTTTCCCACAGATTGCCTTTGGAGCCTTTGTAGAAAGTCATTTGGCTACACTTAATGTGTCTTTCCCTGGACTGTTCTATTCATTGGTTGTTACCCTACTGAAGCTTTACAGTAATTTTTAAGACAGGTATTTTAAGACCTCCAACCTTGCACTACTCTTTCACTTTAGAATCAGTTTGTGAATTTCTACAAAAAAAAATCTCATAGGATTTTGACTGGGATTGAATAAAATAATTTTGGAGAGTACTGACATCTTAACACCAGTGAGTGATCCAACCCATGAACATGGTACTTCTCTCCATTACTTAAATTCTCAGCAATACTTTGTTTTCAATATAGAGCTCTTGTCCATCTTTTGTCAAATTACCCGAGTAGGCCATGTTTTTGGGAGCTGTTGTAAAAGGCATTGTTTTTAAAGTTTATTTTCCGAGCTCAGATTCAATGGTAGCTATTATACAAAAATACAATTTATGTATACTGCCTCTGCAACCTGTGACCTTGCTATAATCACATATTAGTTTTGATAGTTTTAAAATGGGTTTTCTATTAGGATTTTTTGTGTACACAATCATACCATCTGTGGATAAAAGTTATTTGTTCCTTTCCAGTTATTATGTTTATTTCTTTTTCTTGCCTGGTTAAGACCTTCAATAAAATGCTGAAGTGGTGAGAGTCGATTCCTTTTCTAGTTCCTGATCTTAGAGGAAAAGCATTCAGCCTGTCACTAGTATGTATATAGCTAATGGTAACTTGATTAGGGATGTGCCCTTTATCAGACTGGGGAAGTTTCCTTTTCCTAGTTAGCTGGGAGGTTAGGTTTCCTTTATTAAAAAATTATGAATAGCTGTTGGATATTGTCAACTGCTTTTTATGCATCTGTTGAAGTCATAGGATTTTTATACTTTAATCTGTTAATGTGGCAAATTACACTGATTTTTGAATGTTAAATCAACATTGCAGTCAGGGATAAACCCTACTTGGTCAGGATGTATTTGTCATTTTTACATATTACCAGGTTTGATTTGCTAAAATTTGTCAGATTTTTCCACATATATGCTAATAGCAATGTTAGTCTAAATTTTCTTTTCTTGTAAATGTCCTTGTCTGGCTCTGTTATCAGGATTGTGCTGGTCTCACAAAATGAGTTGCATAATGTTACCTCCTCTGTTGTTCTGAGTTTGTGTACAATTGGTATTGTTTTTTTCCCCTCAAGTGTTTCAAGAGAACAAGAGATAGAAAATAACACTAAGGGCCAGCGCGTTGGTTAAGAGCTGGCTTGAGATGCCAGCTCTGAGCAGCAGGGCCCCGGTTCAGATCCCACATGAGGGCCAGTGACACTGCCCTCTACAGCTAAGATGGTGAACAACAGCTCGACTTGAAGCTGGGCGGCCATGAGTCGCTGGCGACAGTGTAGGCTGCAGCCCCTGCTGCAGTGGGTTGCCATAAGCTACTGTGTGTGCCCGGCAGCCAGCATGAGCTATCAAGAGCTGCCGTCCAGAGGCCAGCGACCAACCTGCCTCACCCAGGAAGAGTGCAATGATAATACCAACATGGGCCAGTGAAGCAACGTTCTCCACAACTAGACTGAAGAACAAAAGGACAGCAACTTGTCTGTTCCCCTTCCCTCAATTCCCCAATAAAAATCTTTAAAAAAAAAAAAGAAAAAGAAAATAACACTAAGATATAGCAGATTTAAACGCAAACCTCGCAATTACATGAAATGTAAATTGACCAAGCACTCCAATTAAAAGCAGTTCAGTGGGAAAGGAAGGCTATTTCAACAAGTGAAGCTAAAACTGTATATCCATATAGGAGAAAACAAAAATAAAACAGAGCTGTGACCCCCTTACCTTACATCATGAAAAAAATACTTTTAATTAATATGGCTCATTGACCTGAATGTTTAATTGAAAACTATAAAGGTTCTAGGAGAAAATGTACAATAGTATCTTCATGACCTTAGGGTAAGATTTCCCAAACAGGTCATTGTAAACCATTAAAAGAAAAAAGACGAATCTTCTGCTCCTCAACAGGTCAAGAGAAAACACATGTATCAGATAAAAGATATCCTTTTCCAAAATATATAAAGAACTACCGCCAAACAATAAAAAAAAAAAGCAAATAAACCAATTTTTAAAATGGGGAAAAGTCTTGAAAAGTCACTTCACATATGACATAGGAATGGCCAATAAGCACACGAAAACTGTTGCACGGCTAATGGTACAACCACTTTGAAAATTTGAATTTTTTAAATCAAATTAAAATATAGAGATCTGTTCTCCACTCTCTTGACACAGCAATTCCAAGTATTTACTCAAGAAACACAAAAACCTATGGCCACAAAAAGAATGTTAATAGCAGCTTTATTCTAAATACCAACTAAAAAACAACTCCAATGGCTACCAAAAGGAGAATGAACAATCGATGATTATTCATCTAGTGTAATACACAAAATAAAAAGGAGCAAAATACTGATACACCAATACATGTAATAACATACATAAATTTCAAACATCATGCTGAAGAAGTCTGATACAAAGGAGCACATACTGTCATGGTTCCATTTGTATTAAGTTCTCCAACAGGCAAAACTAACCCATGGCGGCATAAAAATAAAGGTGGGGGTCAGAGATAGACTGGGAAGCAGCATGAGAAACCTTCCTGGGGGAATGAAAATATTCTGTATTTTGAAAGGCGTTAGAGTGGTTAGTAGCCAAAACTCCTCCAATTGCAGTGGGTATAAATGCGACCTCAATTTAGAAAACAAGGTAATCACATAGGTCTGGTTCTCAGCAGGTGCGTGTGACTGCAGAATAAAATGACCGCGCCCTAAGGGATGAAAATGCGGGAGAAACGCCTAAGCATTCGACTTCGCGCGGGTTCCGCCGCCTCCCACAGGCAACAACTAGTCAGGAACGAAGACTGAACTTAGGACCTCGGGGCCGTCTGTCCCCAAGGCCCGCCCCTTCCGCTTTCACGACGTTCAGTCTGCGTCCGAAATTGGAATGGCTTAACCCAAAGCCGCATACAAGAGACGTTTGTTCCGCCAGAAACAAACGATCTGTCGTCACGCTTTCATCGTTTAATTCTCAAATGTACCCATTCGCGAAAATACTCAGGGTTTGTCCTCTGCACTTTTTTTAAACCACCTTCCACGAAATGGTAGCTTCCCCCTAGATTGCAGTTGCCCTGGGTGGAGCACACCATTCGAAGAGGGGGAGGTTTTGAGGTTTGTATCAAAACAAAGATCTCCTTCCTTTTCAAAGGCCGTAACTAAGCAGTCCAAGAAGAAAATAACAAAGTAGAGGTAAGGGGTTATCAGCCTCCCCTCCGCAAGTGATAGGAGCCAGTCTAAAAGACAAGTTCTCTTTCTACTTCCCTCTCATCGGGTGAATATGAGCTGCTCCGAAGAAACCGGAAATGGTACTGTAAGTGGCAGTAAATGTAGAGCCAAACAATAACAGTTAACAGGACCTTCTGGGGCCTCTCAGACTAGGATAATCCTCCACGGTTTCTCGGATAAACCTCTCGTTTAGCACTTCCCAGTTCCACGATTGACAGTATTTAATTGGATTTTCTTCATCCAGCGAAGCCGGGGGCCGGTTGGAAAGATTACTCCAGAAAGGACAAAGGTCCGAAAGTTATGTGGCCTTAGGAGCGTGGGCTTCCCAGATCACCCCGAATAATCACTTCGGGATGGAGGTCAAGATTCCACCAGGCTATCACATGGGCTCTAAAATCTCAAGCCTTGAGTCTTCAAAATTCTGAGATCCGAAAGTCTCAGACCCTGATGCTTTGTGCGTCTTATTTCAGGATTCCTCACACCCAGCACTGGGATGAGTGCGGGTGGGTAGAGAAGAACCCGAGGCCAGCTGAAAGTTCCCCAAAGTCCCACTCCCCCGGCCCAGGCGTTCAGTTCGGCTGGTCCTAACATCCCCATTATCTACACACACCCAGGCTTCCCAACACTGCATTCCTAGGTTGGTGCCACCAGCCAACCTTTTCCATCTCTCCCCCCTAATTTGCCAAGTCTCCAGTGCCCAAACTCCTGTCCCCATTATTTTCCGTAGCTGAAAATAAACGGAGCCCAGAGCTCACGTCTAAGAAAAGACTCATCAGACTGGGTGAAGAGCTTACCCGAACCTCAGGGGAGCGTATCACCGTTCTGGGAAGCACGCTCCGAGGCCGGATTCCAGGTGAACCCCCGGGACCCACCAGCTACCTGCGCCCAGGATGGTGGCTCTGGACTTTTGAGCTCAAAACTTTTAGCGCCAGTCCGAGCACATGGGAAGGGAAAATCCCAATCCCAGCAACCCCCGCGAGGCTTCTGGCACAAAGCTGGACAGTGGCCATGACAAGTAAGGGCAAGCAATTCGCCGACGGGCGGAAACAATGGGACTAGAGAGTGGGCGATGAGTACGCGGGGAGAGTCAGGATTCTCGTCGTATTGGTGTTGTAGCTACCGACATTTTCGGGTAGGGAAGTTCAACAAGCCAGAGCCGTGAGAACAGATTTGTGGAAACAATTTTGGAAGACTCCTGCCACTGTGTCAAATACGAAAGTGGAAGGAAGAAGGCCTTTGCACTTGACGGTTCTCTCCGCCATGAACACTTCTCTTCCAGATAGCTGGATAATTTCTTCTCATTAGCTAAAATGTCACCTTTTAGGAAGGCCTTCGTTAATATTCCAATCTAACGTATTTCCCCCAATTCTATCACACCATCTTGTTTTCTTTACAACCTTTATCACTATCTGAAAAGATTTATTCCTTGCCTTCAATACACTGCAACGTAAGCCTTATTCATTGTGTTTCCCAGTGCCTAGTACAGTACTGGGTAGCAAGTAAGAACTCAATAATAAATATTGAATGAAGAGACGGAAGTCTGAGGAATTTGACGAATGAGATGCAAAAGAGGTTCAAAACCTGTAAAATCAAACAGCATTAGCGCCCTCTGCAGGTGAGGGGGGAAGTAGGTACTTGAAGAACGACCGCAGGAGCTCAGGCACTTCTCGCCCTGGCAAAAGCTTTCAGACTACAACTCCCAAGCAGCTACTAGGAGTCCCAGGGCTTGATGAGAACGGTAAACCGTGACCTGTTACGTCCCTGCCCCGCCCCCCCGTCGGTCGCCCGCGAAATCTGATCCGAGATATGGAGGTCCAATCGAAAGATAGGCCCAAATCCCGCGAGAGTAAGAGGCGCGTAGCAACTGATCCGGCTAAGAATTCCCCTGCTTTCAACTTTCGTGTCCCCGTCAGCTTTGCCTGCCGGGGGTCGTCTGCCCCCTCCCGGAAGAAGAAGGAAGGCACAGGTGGGTTTATCCAGCCTGCGTCCCGGATCCTCGAGAACTTTGAAGCTGTCTCGGTCGCTCCGCAGGCCAGGCAGCTGGTAGCCAGTGGGAAGAGGGTTGCCTGGCAGAGGCCATTGTCTGCCGCGCAGTATGAAGACGCCGGAGGCGCCACCGTTAGCTCCGGACTGCCTGCCTTCAGACCAGGTCCCAGCTCCAGCCCGTCTTTCTCCTCAGGCTTCCTCGATGGATAAAAATACGGACCCTGAACTGATGCCACCGCCATCCAATGGGGGTGATCCGCCCCTCAGGTCCCCAGATCCCGTGTCTGGCTCAGCTGTGTCCCAGGAGCTGGAGGAGGGGGACCCAGCTTCTCTCTCCATTCCCCTGGAAACAGAATTTGGCACTTCTAGTAAGTTGAGCCCTCGAATCGAGGAGCAAGAACTTTCTGAAAATATGAGCCTTCCTGCTGAAGAAACGAAGAGGCCAGAGTTGGGGTCTGGAGAAACCATGGAATGTGTGTCTGAGGAACCTGCTCCTGAGGATGAAGAATACCTGTAAGTGGTGATGTCAGTTGACTCAGGAATCTGAGGAGACTGGAAGTGAGATGTATAGAAGTGTGAGATATACTTTATCTGCCAGTCCTCAGCCCCATTTCTGCAAGCCTATTTACACTTAGCTTTGGCAACTCAGGTTTGTTGTCCTCCCATCTTCCTTCCAGTACTTGGAACTACAGCTTTTCCCAGCGACCTCCGTTTCTCAGTGGTTCCTGGTCAGAGTTCAGCACCCAGCCTGAGAACTTCTTGAAAGGCTGTAAGTGGTAAGTAAGGAAAATGGGGCAAGGAGGTAGTCACACCAGGATTTTCACCTTAAAACACTCCATTTGTCTGGGAGAAGGATCCAACAGTGGTGGGAATAGGAGAAAAATCACTCTTAGACTGAGGTTGGCTTTCATCTAGGATTATGTCTTCTACTTTCCTCAAGGTTTTAGGGGGATTACCTACTCCAGAGGTGGGCTCAGCCGTAGCCCTACACTTGGAAAACAGAGGTCTGCCCAGCTTCTAACTTTTGCTTACTCCTAGGGCCCCTGATGGTTCTTGCATCTTGACCAATAGTGCTGATAACATTCTGCGGATTTATAACCTGCCCTCAGAGTTGTATAATGAGGAGGAGCAGCTGGAATATGCAGAAATGGTAAGGGTAAGGGCTAACTCAGCTTCTTCATCTGACACTGCACATTTAAGGCCTTCTTGTAGATGGAGAAAGTACAGTCTACATGTTTCTTGTTCACAAACAGAACATTTCTTCACGAATTTCCATAGGTAGGGTAGCATTTTCCACCTTGAATTCTGAAGTTATTTAAAGAAAAGTCCCTTCTTTAGTCAGGAATATGTGTCTTCCATGAAAGAGTAGTGGATTTCTCATGGCAGTACTTAATTGATTTATAGATATTATTGAATGACTACCAATATGTCAGTTATTGTGTTTGGTGCTGGGATAAAGTGGTGAATGGGACAGATGAGCTGGTTTGCTTTCTTGTTTAGGAGATAGACAATAAACATGTAAACCAATAAATACGTTTATTATATATTATAATAAATGCTATAAGGGAAATAAACAGAAAGAGGAGAGACTAACTAGAAGATACCATTTAGATAAAATGGTCTGGGAGGGGCTCTCTGAAAAGGAGATGTTTGAGCTGAGACCTGAAAGAGTGAGATCAGTCATGTGAAGAGCAGTAGAAAGAGCATTCCAAGAAGAGGCAATGATCTCACAAAGACCCAGAGTTGGGAAAGAGCTTTGTGTGTTCAAGAACAGAAAGAAGGCCAGTGTGCCTGGACTGAGACCGGTGAGGGGGAAAGTGTATTAAGGGTGGAGAGGTGGCTAGTAGCCAGATCATGTCAGATCTTGTGAGTAGGGCATTTGGAGTTTATTTGGGAAGCCATGGGAGAGTTTTATTTATTTTTATTTACTTTTTTAAAAGATTTTTTTATTGGGGAATTGGGGGAGGGGAACAGACAAGTTGCTGTCCTTTTGTTCTTCAGCCTAGTTGTGGAGGACGTCGCTTCACTGGCCCATGTTGGTATTATCATTGCGCTCTTCCCGGGTGAAGCAGTCGCTTGCTGGCCATTGGACGGCCGCTCATGGCGGCTCGTGGCAGCTCACAAAAGTACACACCCACTGCCGGCCAGCCCCACTGCAGCCTATGCCATCGCCGGCGACTCATGGCAGCCCAGCTTCAGGTCAAGCTGTTGTTCACCATCTTAACTGTAGAGGGCGCAGTGTCACTGGCTGACATGTGGGATCCGAACTGGGGCCCTACTGCTTAGAGCTGGTATCCCAAGCCAACTCTTAGCCAACATGCCACTCAGCCAGCCCGCCATGGGAGAGTTTTAAAACAAGGGTGAAGTGATGGCTGATGTTTAGACAATGGATTGTGGGAGGGCAACAGTAAAATCAGGGAGACTCATTAGGATGCATTTTTTATGGTCTAGGTAGGAAATGATGGTGGCTAGGGTGGTGTCAGGAGAGGTGGAGAGATGTGGATGGATTTGAAGTATATTTTTGTAGGACTTGGAAGTCAATTGGATGTGGAGGGGCAGGGAAGGAAGCAATCAAGGGTGATGTCTAGATTTTTGCAGCTGGTGGATGGTGGTATGATTTACTCAGTGGAGGAAACGGATATATAAAAGTATTAAGACAAGTCAAGGGGTTTTTAGATACATTAAATGTGAAATGTAAAACTAATGGGGAGAAATCGGAGCTGGGGATATACTTTGAAAAGTAAGAGAGCATATAGGTGGTATCTTGAGTCGAGAATGGACTCAGTGTCAAGAGAGTGTAAATCAGCGGTTTTCAACCTGTGGGTTGCGACCCCTTTGGGGGTTGAACGACCCTATCACAGGGGTCGCCTAAGACCATGGAAATCAAAAAGATATTTACATTACGATTCATAACAGTAGCAAAATTACAGTTATAGAGTAGCAACGAAAATAATTTTATGGTTGGGGGGTCACCACAACATGAGGAACTGTATTAAGGGGTTGCAGCATTAGGAAGGTTGAGAACCGCTGGTGTAAATGGAGAAGGCTCAAGCAGAACCCTGAGCATTCCAGCATATGGAGAGGGGTGCAGGAGAAATTACAAAAGTTGAGGCAAAGAGTCATGTGTAATGCTGTTGAGAGTGAGGCACATTTAGAGAATGACCCAAGAAGATATTAGTGACCTTGATAAGAATACATTCAGAGCAGTGATAGAGGCAGAAGCTAATTAGAATGAGTGGAAGAGAAAATATAGATAATCCTTGGAAAAGTTTTCTTGTGACAGGGAGCTGAGAAATGGAATGGTGACCAGAGGGAATGTGGGGCCAAAAAAGGGTTAATGGGGTGCCTCTGTGGTGTCAGGAATAACTCCAGTAGACAGGAATTGATGCTCTAGGAGAGAGAAGTGGTAACAAAGTCAGTGAGTGGCTGGGTGAAGACAGGATCCAGAGCACATTCGAGGACTTGACTGTGATGGGTGCAGAATCCTTGCAGTAGGAAGAAAGGCAGAGGATACCTGTTTGGTGTTTGGATGATTTCTGATTTCTGTTGGCTTCTTACTGAAGCATAAAGGGAGGTTATCAGCTGCAGGAAGAGGGTCTGTGGAGACAGAACAGAAGGTGTGAATAATCCGTCCTGGGGAGTCAAAGATCAGAACCACCAAGGAATGTGGTAGTATTGCTAGGCTTTGCTCAGTGCTCATAGAAATTTGTTGCCATCCATTTAAAGTCAGACCAGTTAGTGTGGTTGTGCATCTTTTCCCAGCAAGTTAACTGACTATAGTTTCTCTGTAAAATGAGGATGATAATAATAGCACCCACCTCACAGAATTGTGAGAATTAAAAGAATTAATGCAAAGTGCTTAAAATAGTGCCTGGCGTGTACTAAGTATTCATTCAATAAGCACTAGTAGTCATTGATATTAGTTCAGTGCAAACATGGAATAGGATGGTCTGGTTGGGGTTTGCCAGGGGAGAAAGACAAGGGTGTCTTGAGAGTGTCTACAGGAATATGGGTGTAATGATTGACTAGCATGTAAAGTGGATAAGAAAATGGATTGTAAATATGTTTTTGATGAAGCTGAATAATTTTTCTGGTAGCAATAGGAGAATAAGTGAACCGGATGGGTGGGAGATGGTACTCAGAGACTGTTATGGTGACAAGCCCAGGACTTAGGTATGGGAGTGGGTGGCTACTGTAGAGTGAAGGCCATGGCTATGGGTGCTGAGGAAGTCAAGGAATGAAAGAGGCCAGGGTGTTGGGCAGATCCATCATTCTTCATTGATTCATTCATTCAACAAATTTTTTTTTGTACATTCTATGTGCCTGTATTAGGTACCTGGGATTAGTCAACAAAAACAGACATAAGTCCCTGTCCTTGTGATGCTTATATTCTAGTGTGGGGGACAGGGGGAAAAAATAGTGGAAAAAAAAATCTGACAAGTGACGAGGAGAAAAATAAAGCAGGGAGAGAGTTGGGAGAACGGGTTACAATTTTTAAAAGGATGGTAGGGGAAGACCTCACTATTTATGTGACATTTGAACAGAGGCCTGAAGGAACAAAGACAGTGAACTAAGCTGATATTTTGGGGAAGAATACGGTGGGCAGAGAGAACAGCAAGTTTGAAGTCCCAGTGGAAGACAAAGTCACCAAGAATAACAGGTATACCTGTGGGGAATAAGATACTGAACCAGGAGATGAAGCGTCAGTGAATGAGGGAGGATGACAAAAGGAGGGGAGCTAATCTGATGGCAAGAACTTGCAGAGAAGCTAGAGTTTGAGGAAGTGAAAAGATTTGGAAATGACAGCGGGGAGCACAGTTGACACTTACCTACCTCCTGTCCCTGAGGTGTGTACTGGGTAGTAGGGGTGAGAATTAAAGAAAGTCTTGATAGCTTCCTTAAAGAAGAGTGTCCAGCTGCGGGGATGGTTCTGAATGCTTACCCAGCATGCAGCTCTGTTAAGATTGGAGGCTACAGACATTTGAGTTCTCAGTACAAGATATAAGGCACTGGTTACTGGAAAAGAAGCTGGTGGTGTCTCAGGGCCAGGAGGGCATAGTACAGCCATCCTGAAAGAGTTCAGGAGCAGGGATAGTTAGAAGAGACTGGAAATATGAGAGGTTGAGAATTTATTGCACAAACTCATTTAAGAGAAATGGGAATGTTAAAAAGGGAAAAAGTAATCCTTTTCCCCTCTACAAAATTCAGTTCTTTAAATTTTCTTCATTTTTTCCAAGCTCTGTACAAGAACTGAAGCTTTCTATGTGGCTGTAATCCGATAGTAGATGGTTTCGTATACTGCTTTTTCTTTTTAATAATCATATCTTAAATGTTTTTCATGGTGCCTCAGTCTTCATAGCTATCATGTTTAATGGTGTGTGATATTGCACTGAATACCTATGATAGAAAATTTTCTTACCTATTCCTCTGATTTGGGTTGTTTGCAGGATTTTTATATATAAATTATTCACTGAACGCCTTCATGTGTTTTGATGGAGATTCTTTTTCATAAGAGAAATTTTATAAGTAAGAAATATCCTAGCTTGGACAGTATCAATATTTTTTTGTGTGTATCTTGTATACAGGTAGTCAATTTGTTTTCAAAGTTTTTGTGGGTTTTTTTTTTTTTTAAAGTGCTGTTAGCATTGTGAGTGTACCAGCTCTAGCCCAACCTTACTCATTAGATATTTTTGTTTTTAAAGTTTAGAGTTTGGAAATGGATAAAGTCTATATAGGTGGGGAAATTGGGGGAGGACATTTTTTGGGTATTTCCATATACCTATGTGCTGCTTCTTCCCAACGTGGTTTCCCAATAACTTTCCTCCCTTCTCTACTGTTTCTGGAACTCCTATTCCTAACTCCCCAGTCTCTTGCCTGAGTGCTCTCCTTCCCTTGTGGCTCTTGCCTGAGGCCTTTACTTCCCTTTAGCCCTTTCCAGGAAAGACTGTACATCTGCCATGCCCTACCTATCTCAGGGCAGTGGGAGGAGGGGGAGCCCTCATTCCCAAATGCTATATCCAGACAATTGTTCTTTCTCTTTGTAAAAATTTTCCTGTTGAGGCTTCTGCTGTCTAATTCCCCCGCTCACCAAGGACATTGGTACCTCATGACTCTCCTGTGAACAAACCCCAAGTCCTTTACCACCTTGGTGACCTCAGGTATTCAAACCAAAAGCCAGGGTCTCATCCTTTAATCTTCTATTTCCCTAACCCCCCACATCCAACTAATTACCAAATTCCATAAAGTCTACCTAATCTTTCTAATCCACCTACTTCTCTTTACTCCACTGCCTCTACTTTAATTCAAGGTCCAATTATTTTGGGCCTTACGTTACTAGACTAGTCTCCCTAGACTAGTCTCCCGTCTCCATTTGCTCATCAAAACATTTAAAATACTAGGTATTGGGGAAACAGTGGTGAGCAAGACAGACATGGTTCCTGCCTTCTCAGATAGGTACGATGCAGAGTGAAGCACACGGAGGGCTATAGGAACATGGAGCAGGGCACCTTGTTCAGACTGAGTGGTTAGGGAAGGCTTCCTAGTGGAAGAAGCATCTAAGAGACCCAAAGGATGATTAGGACTCAACCAGGAGAAGTTGTTGGGGGAGATGAAAGAAGAATATTCTGGACTTGGACACTAGTATTTATGAAAGCCTGCAGGTTGAGAGTATGGTGAGTTGGCACCTTCTGGAAACTTAGAGCTAAAATAGTAGGATGTAAAGATTTTAAAGGAGTTGAGAACAGAGAGATGAGCCATGAGAGGTGGTTATGGGGTAGACGCCCGGTAAGATAAAGTTTTATAAGGAAATTGGGTTTTATATTGAGGATTATGTGAAATGTTTTAAGAAAGTGACATAGCACCTTCAGATTTAACAAGGTCTCTAGGGCCTCAATGTGGCTGCAGTGTGGAGAATGGATGGGAAGGTTGGAGAATGGGCGTGCAGGAAGGCCCGGAGGACATGTAGAGTGTTGCAGAAATGCTAGCAAGAAGGCAGTGGCTTCACATGAAATGAAGGGGAGTGAACAGGTTCAAGAGAACCCCAGGAGGTGGAATTGGCAAGATTTGCTATATGTTGGACCAGGAGCGGAAAGGGAACCAGGAATAATAGCAGTCAAGGCTGGTGCTCAGATTTCAGACTTGAAAATTAGCTATGGAGCCCAGGAGAAGTAGCAGGTTTGAAGGCAGCAGTTGCTGGTCCCTTATGGACAAATTGAGTTTGAGGTACCTGTGAGATGCCCAAGTGGAGCTTTCTACGAGGCCATTGGATATATGAGTTCAGAGCAGAGAAGTGGAAACTAAAGTCATGGCTGGATGACATAACCCCGAGGTCCAGCAAATAACTGACAAAGGACCGGTATCCAGATGATTTAAAGAAAAAGACAATAGCCAAGGAGAAAAGTGAACAAAAATTATGAAAAGGTGTACTTAAATTGCTAATAAACATAGATAAATGTCTAACCTCAGTAGTAAGGAAAGAAATACAAATTTATACCATAGCCAAATACTATTTCACAGCCTTCAAATTGAGAAAAATGTAAAAGTCTGCCAGTACCAGCAGGATGCAGAGCAATAGGCACTCTTATGCTGCTGGTACGAGAGGGAATCTGGATGAGCACTTTGGAAAAAAATGTGACATTATCTAGCAGAGTTGACAAAGTGCATACTGTACAGCCCAGTAATTTCCCTCTTTAGTAGAAAGTGCAGAGAAACCCTCCCACGTGTACCAATATGTTAAAAAGCATACTAGGCAAAAAATGGAAAAACATCAGTGACTGTCAATCGAGAAGGATAGGCAAGGAATACTGTACAGTAGTGAAAATGCATGAATTAGAGCTAAATGTGTCACCATGGTTAAATCTCACAGCCACAAAGAGATGCATATAGTGTGATACCATTAATATTAAGTTTAAAGGCATGCAAGACAATACCGTACATTGTTTTTTCTGTGTATGAATATATTCCTGGAGAAATGCATAAGAATGGCAAACTCAGGATAGTGTTTACTTGAGAGAAGGTTTCATTGGGAAGAGGTTTTAACTGGTTTGTATACTTGATTTCTTAAGCTGGGTGGAGGAGTTACAGGGTGGTTTTTGTTTTTGTGTTTAATACTTCTTTGCATGTTTGGACTGTTTAATAATTTATTTTTTTTAAGGCTCAAATGGTACCTGGTTGATGCTCAGTAAATATGCACATCATTGGTTGGTTCTTTGTCTCTGGGTTGGGATATTATTTGTTTCTTCCTTTTTAAGTGTTTAAAAACGAAAGAATATATCTATATGGCTTTTGGTGGTCCAAATCTGACATTAAAATCTGAGCTGATCCTTGGATGTTGAGATCAAGATTCTGTTCTTCATATTAACCCCATCTGCCTTCTCCTGCCTGGTTAAATGCCGACAGACGGTCTCCCTTTGCCATGAAACTGCTGGAGGCCCGAGTCTGCCTCCTTTCCCTGCCAGTGACCCAGGCATTCCCAAATCTCTGTCCAGGCCCCTGTCCTTCGGATGGTGGAAGGTGACACCATCTATGATTACTGCTGGTATTCTCTGATGTCTTCAGCCCAGCCAGACACCTCCTAGTAAGTGATGTCCTTTTCCTCCCCTATTCCCCCGAGTAGTTTCAAGGGGACCCTCTGTGAGAGAGAGTCAAGGGCTACCCAGAGGTCTCTGGAGGAGGAAATCTTGGTGTGCCCTTCAGATGTGCGCTGAGAGGGCGGGTCAGTTGGCTTCCTCCCCTTCCTTTGACAGCACCGGGGCCTCAGTGTTCCTGTCTGTCTCAGTGTGGCCAGCAGTAGCCGGGAGAACCCCATTCACATCTGGGATGCATTCACTGGAGAGCTCCGGGCTTCCTTTCGCGCCTACAACCACCTGGTAGGGACCTCCCACCCAGCCCCAGGGCTCATCCTGGCCCAGCTTTACTTCCTTGAGGACAGCTGAGGCTTTGCTAGGCCTGTTTTCAGCCCTTTCCTACCCCCAGGACGAGCTGACAGCAGCCCACTCGCTCTGCTTCTCTCCGGATGGCTCCCAGCTCTTCTGTGGGTTCAGCCGGACTGTGCGTGTCTTTTCCACAGCCCGGCCTGGCCGTGACTGTGAGGTCCGAGCCACGTTTGGTAAGCATCTGTGCCGGCAAGGGAGGGGGAAAGAGAAAGGCACTGCCATGTGCAGAGGGGCCTTGTGTGAGCCAGGGGGCCACATATGGGGGATAACATCTTCCTCAGTATAGGCCTGGGCGGTAGGTAGTATCCAGTGGGCAGAGGAGAAAACAGACTCAGGGAGGGGTTGAAACTTTCCCAAGGTCAACCTGTAAAGAGCTGGTTCATTCCTGAGCCCAGGCCCTATCAACTATGTACCTTTTGGTCTCCAAAATCTTAGTATCTCTAGGAAATTGGAGGTGAAGCTGATTTCATTTTCCTGTAAGCTTTCAGTTTTCCATCCCTTCCAGGAAAAACTGAGATTTGAGAGGGAAGAAGTAGGTCTTGGGCATTTAGGTCCTTTGGGAGGATAGAAGGAACTGGGGAGTATCAGCGGTCTTTATCCTGTTTGTGACAAACACAGCAGGGGAGACACATAAGTCTTGGCACATGGGCTCTGGGACAGGAGACAGAGTTACACTGCTGATTAGCCTGGTTAATGTCAGATGCTGTAACCCCTCCCCCACTTTGTTCCTTTTCTAGCAAAAAAGCAGGGCCAGAGTGGCATCATTTCCTGCATAGCCTTCAGCCCAGCTCAGCCCCTCTATGCTTGTGGCTCCTACAGCCGCTCCCTGGGTCTGTATGCCTGGGATGATGGCTCTCCTCTCGCCTTGCTGGGAGGGCACCAAGGGGGCATCACCCACCTCTGCTTTCACCCAGATGGCAACCGCTTCTTCTCAGGAGCCCGCAAGGTAGGGGTCATGTCCTGAGATCCCAAAAGGTAGTAGGCAGGAGTGGGGATGTAGTCTGATATGTTTGGACGATAGACATGGGAATAAACCAACCCAAGCTAAAGGAATGCCTGTAAACCTTAAGAGAAGCAGGGATGTCTTGGGGGGTGGGGGTGGTGGTGGAGAAGGGCAGACTCCAGGCCCCTGTTCTGTGTCTTCAGGACCCTGAGCTTCTGTGCTGGGATCTTCGGCAGCCTGGTCATCCACTGTGGTCCCTGAGTCGTGAGGTGACCACCAATCAGCGCATCTACTTTGATCTGGACCCGTAAGTGACTGTGGGTCCTTCCTGCCCAGGGCCCCAGTGCCCCTAGGGATGCCCAGCGATAGCCCATTTCCCAGTCCCTGGGTGTGAGGGGTTCCTGCCCCAGGATGATGACTCCATACCAGCAAGTCTCTGCTTTCTCCCCCAGGACTGGACAGTTCCTAGTAAGTGGTAGCACTAGCGGGGCTGTCTCTGTGTGGGATATCAGCGAGCCTGAGCGTGAAGGGAAGCCGGAGCCAGTGCTGAGTTTTCTGCCCCAGAATGAATGCACCAATGGAGTGAGGTCATCAGTTAATTCCACAGATTTTGGGGCTTGGGTTGGGGAGGGAAGTGAATTGCTGAGGGAGCAAGCATCCTTTCTCAGGATTTTGACAGACCTTGCCTGTCTCTCTTTCCAGCCTGCACCCTAGCCTGCCTCTGCTGGCCACTGCTTCTGGTCAGCGTGTGTTTCCGGAGCCCACGGAGAGTGGGGACGAGGGGGGGCAGGAGATGGACGTTCCCCTGCTCTCCATGCGCCACACCCACCTTGAATATCAGCTTCAGCTCTGGTGGTGTGGGGGGAGCCCAGACACTAGTATTCCTGATGGTCACCAGGGTGAGAGGGGACAGGGAGGGACAGAGGGAGGTGGGGGTGAGTTTATATAAAAAGGTGTTATATGATACTAGAGTCTTTGTGTCTGTTTGGGGAGGCAAATCATGGAGGTGGGGGCCAGGAGCTCCCTTGTCCAGTAGCTGTGGGATTGGCATATTGTTCCTGAAACCAGAGTTGAGAGGTGGGACTAGGCAGGAGCCAATGGGGCTGCTGAGCTTTGTATGAAGTCAAGTGAGTGTGGGTGGGGCTTCATGCCATTGACTGGTTGGTTGCTAGGCAACTTGGTAAACTGAAGGGGGTGAACCTGTTTGAAGTCTCACTCCCAAGGTGGGGGCGACAGGGGTCAAAGTGAGAGTGGCTGAGCTGGAGTGGCAGGAGCTGTGTGTCAGACTATTGGGTATGACTGTGTGAGACTGTGCAGACAGTGACAGACAAGACAGTGCTCATTCGGTGCTCAACACTATTTACCATCATCCAGCAGCAGAGGGACCATTACTTAGCTCTGGGGGAAGGGGAGCAGAGCACCCACTTCTCCTCCCCTGGACTCCCCCAGGAGACAGGTGACTGAGTAGCCAGAGTCAAGGACATACATGAAAGAGTAAAGGTGCTGAAAAACAGAGGTCACATTCTGTATTTCTGTTAGATCCGGGACAAGGGCGAGAGTCTTTCATTCAGCAGCTGTCACTGGTCTTCTCCATTTATCTGCTCTGTCTTTGGGGGGGGGGTGGACAAGTATGTTATTTCAAGTGGTGGCTCCTCCCACAGGCACACCTTGCCAAACACTGAGAAGGGGGGCTCTGAATAGATAACTGTCAGCAGGGGATTTGATTTTGGACCTCACAATCAAAAGGAAGGGACTGAAGGCCTGTGACAGCTTGAGAGGGGAGAGGAATGTCACCTCTGCCCAGAGGTGCTGAAAGCTAGGGTTCTTAAACCCAAAAAGGCAAACCCTCTCCCTTCCCCCAGGATAATTGGAAACAGCCCTTCCAACTGAATGTGGGTTTGGGGTTGTAGGTACTCCCTTTCCTCTCCCAGCCCTATTTCTCCCCACAACCATCCAAGAAGGGCCCAAGTTTACCCCCAATCTCTTGCTGTTCACCCAACCCCCAGATAGCAGAAAAGGGTACAGGAGGCTGTGACAAAAGAGACCGGAGGAGTGGTAGGGAGTTCAACCTGAGTTTGGTTTCCGGTTTTATCCTAGACTCCCTGTATGACCTTGGGCAAGTCCCGGGGTCTCCCTGAGCCTCAGTTTCTTCATCACTACAATGGGGATCCTTTAGCTCTGCCCCTCCCACCTTACACAGGTAGTCGTGACATCAACTCAGCCCACTTGATAAAGTGCGAAGCCTTCAAGGTTATTATTCTCTCCAGATCTCCCGGGAGCAGCGGTGTTGTTTTGGGATGGGGGAGGCAGCGGGTGCGGGAGCGACACGGGCTGGGTTCCTGGGGTGGAGAGGGCGAGAGCCTTTCTGGATCTGAGAGGAAGATTCCAAGCGCTCGGGCGATTGGGCAGAAGGAGAGACGGGCAGAAACTAAGCCAGGGCAGAGTCTCAGAGACAAAGGGGGCGTGAGAGACCGCGCCAGGGAGCGAGGAGGGGCGGCGGGGCGAGGCGGCGGGAGGTGTGCGAGGTGAGGGAGGTGTGGGGGCGTGGGCTGCGGGATCCTGTCTCCCGCTCCGCCTCGAGCTCCAGCTCCGGTTTTTCCCTCCGCCACCCTCTCCCCCTCCCCGCCTCTCCTTTAACTCCCCCTCCCGGGCTCGGGACTGGTTTCCTCCCTTAGCCCGCTGCCCTCAATCCCGGCGAGGCTGGGGCTCCGACTTGGCGTCCCTTTCCTTGCTCCCTTGTCCAGCGCTCCATGCCATCCCCGCCGGGTCCCCGACTCCCCCAGGCCCGCTCACCAATCCCGGGGTGCTCGAGCCAGGGCCGAGGCGTAAGGCGCCTGCAGACCGTCCCTGGAAGGGCTCTTGCGGACTGAGCGCCCCAGAGCTGGGCGCGGGCAGAGCAAGAAGCGGGTCCGCGTGGGAGCGGGGGGCATCAGCCACCCGGGAGGTCAGGGCAGAATAGCTGGGGCAGCTAAGGCAGTCACCCCAGGGGGTGAGCGACTTTGGGGGAGTTGGTGCCCCGCCCCCCAGGCCTTGGCGGGGTCATGGGGGCCCCCCATTCTAGGCCGGGGGGCGTGCGAGTCGGGGCCCTGCTGCTGCTCGGTTTTTGGGGGCTGGTGTCTGGGCTCAGCCTGGAGCCTGTCTACTGGAATTCGGCGAATAAGAGGTGAGCGGCCCGGGCTGGGGAGTCCCCACACCCTCCGGGCAGGGAGTGTGGAAGCTTTGGGGATTTCGGGGGCTGGGTTCTCCGAGCTAGGAGGAAGCTGGAGGGAGGGTGCCGGCACTCTGCTGGGAGCTGATGGGTAACTAGACAGAAGTGATCTTGGGAACTAGACTTCTGAGTCGCGCACAGAGCTGGATGTGGGTGGTGATATCCAGGTGTTGGGAGTTTGAAGGACCCTAAAGGGCAAGGATCCGAAAGTTCATGGGGGAGCTGGGAGGGCAGTGGAGTGGTTGTGTGGGTTTGTAGGAGACTTGAGCGGTGTCGGGGGCTGGGCTTGGAGGGAGCCTGGTTAATGTCAGCTCTCAGGAGAGCAGCTGAGTAGGTGCTGCTGAAGCGTTGAGGGGAAGGGCAGGGTGCCTCCCTTCCCAGAAGGGACTCCGTGTTGGAGATGGGAGGGGAGAGGGCTCAGTTTGGGGGCTCTAGGGACAACTTCCCCAAGGCTTCTTGTCTCTCTTCACATAGCCTGTCTCCCAATTCTTGCCAGCCTTTGGCAGAACAATTTCCCAACCAAAAAATATTCCTGCATTTTTGGCTTGGGGACTTCTTTCTGGAAGAAGCCTGTAGCCTCCAAAGCCTCTTCTTTTGCTCTCTTGCATCTGGAGTTCTGAGGACTCCACTGCCCCCTCCCCCATCTTTGCTGCAAACTCTTCCAGCAGACCCTGTGTTCCGTGGCATGCTTGCTTTGCTCTGAAAAAAAGGCCAGGGGTCAGCTGAAACTTCAAGCCCATACAGGGTAGGAAAGAACCCTTGGGAGGTCATCTGGGTCCCTTGCCTCCATGTAAATCCCACTCCCCATTAGCACGCGAGTTCTGTGTTTTGAAAAATTCCTACTTTCCCTGGGGAGGTTGTGTGAGACCATGGAAAGAGAATGGGCTTTGGAGCTCATCAAATCCTAAAGTCTTAATCCTAGCTCAGCTGCTTTCAGCTGTGTGGCCTTGGACACATTACTTAACCTTTCTGAGTTTGTATCCTCAATCCTTACAGCTTTTATGAGGATTAGAGGTAAGGTATTGGAACGTATTATATGCTCATTAGAGGAGAACTAGGATTATTGCCCTGCCTCTCTGCACTTCACTGCCTCCCTCACATTCCCTGTTCTGTCCCTTCCTCCCATATCTCTTTGGATATAATCTCAACTGTCTTTTCTCTACTCAGTCTCCTACCTGCCAACTCCCAGCTGTAGTTTGAGTATCAGCTGCAGTTTGAGGATGTTAGTCAGGCTTATTCGGACAGAGTTGAGAAAAGGGAATTAGGGTGTTCTGGGCACTCTATAGGATGTTGGGTGGGAGGGAATGGGGTCATTTGGGAGTCTGGGAAGATATGGGACAGCAGTCCCCTAGGACCCAGTTCTGAGACCCTGTGTGCCATTAATGCATAAAGAGGGGCAGCAGTCAACAAGTAGTGGCTGTGCTGGGTCAGTGGATGCCTGGGCAGAGGGAGACGTGGGCTTCTGTTGGCTGTGGTTAGAAAAGTCAGCTTCAATTTCTGAGCAATGGAGCACTTTCTCTAGGAAGTGTGAGACCTGCGGGAGGAGGGGTACTGAACAGGGAAATGTCTGGGGCAGCTGGACCCCAGACCCTGGTTCCCATTAGCCCCATTGCCAGACCACGCATTTGCCTCCAGTAATATTGGTTGGCTAACTTGGGACACTGGTCTGGATCCCCGAGCGCCCCCCTGTCCCCTCCTGCCCCTCACCTCTAACCTTTGCCCTGAAATCCTTGAAATCCAGTGGTGGTCTGGGGGAGGGGAGGCTCTGCCCCATGGTTTACTGCCATGGAATAGTGAAATCACCTGGGAGGGGAAGGCTGTGTGGTTCCAGAGAGGCCAGCTCCTTGGTAACTGGCATCCTGTTGCCATGGCAACGGTGCTGGTGATGGAGGGAGAGATGGCAGTGTGCATGTGGTGAGGGCGGGCTGAAGAGTGCATTTGGGCACACCAAGGGGCAGGAGACCTCTGAGCCTGGCTTCCTGCTGCTTGCCTTAGCTTACAGAGTCCTTAGTGCCTGCTCTATCAGAACAGACTTTCCACTCAGACAAAGGCTGTCCTGTAGGGATGTGGAGCGAGGGGGGGCGAAGCTCTAGGGGCCAGACCTCTGACACCTCTCTCCCTTGTCCATCTCGCCCTCCTTCCTATAGGTTCCAGGCAGAGGGTGGTTATGTGCTCTATCCTCAGATTGGGGACCGGCTAGACCTGCTCTGCCCCCGGGCCCGGCCTCCTGGCCCCCACTCCTCTCCTAATTATGAGTTCTACAAGCTGTATCTGGTGGGGGGTGCCCAGGGCCGACGCTGTGAGGCACCCCCTGCCCCAAACCTCCTTCTCACTTGTGACCGGCCAGACCTGGATCTCCGCTTCACCATCAAGTTCCAGGAGTATAGCCCTAACCTCTGGGGCCATGAGTTCCGCTCACACCACGATTACTACATAATTGGTACTGCTGGGCAGAGGGCAGGATTGAGTAGGGAGGTGGTATTCCCGGGATCAAGGGCAGATGAGGGAGGGGACCACTAGAGCCAAGGGAGATCCCTTATACCTTTGGGTGGTGTTTAGACCAGGGCATGGAGACAGAATTGGGGCTAGACTCAGGAGTGCCAACTTCTCCCTCTGGCTTTTCTCTCCCAGCCACATCGGATGGGACCCGGGAAGGCCTGGAGAGCTTACAGGGGGGTGTGTGCCTTACCAGAGGCATGAAGGTGCTTCTCCGAGTGGGACAAAGTGAGTGGGGCTGGGGCACACCTCCTAGGAGCTGAAGGAGGTTGGGCCAGTACCATCATGATCAGGGGGCTGCTGTCTCAGCCCCTCTTTCTTGGGTCTTCCTCATCTCCAGGTCCCCGGGGAGGGGCTGCCCCACGAAAGCCTGTGTCTGAAACGCCCATGGAAAGAGACCGAGGGGCAGCCCACAACCTGGAGCCTGGGAAGGAGAACATGCCAGGTAGGAACAGGGTTCTAGCCTCCTGCTTTCCTCAGCCTCCTCTGCTCTTGGACCCCAGCTGCCCTGCCTTTATTCTCTCTCTCCCTCTTCTGTTTTCTTTTTTTGGGGGTTGATACAGGAAAGAGGAGAAGAGAGGATGGTAGGGTGGGAGGGGAATGGAAGCCAAATGAGGAAGAGACTCAATTAGAACTAATTAGCCAACTCAGCGCTTCAATCAGGGCTGTCAGAGACGTGGGGAGGACTCCTTGGCATGGAGCTGAAGGGCTGGACACACCTGGATTCTGATCTGGGCTTGAGGGTATGGAGGGGAGGTGGGGTCCCCAAGGGGTCTGGGCACTGCTGGGGAAGCCCATGGGGACCCCCAAGGCTGGGTGTCCAGTTGCCCAGGTGGCTCCTTCAGCCCCTCCCCCTCTTTCCTCCTTCACCCCTTCCCTGCCAGGTGACCCCACCAGCAATGCAACCTCCCGGGGTGCTGAAGGCCCCCTGCCCCCTCCCAGCATGCCCGCAGTGGCTGGGGCAGCAGGGGGGCTGGCGCTGCTCTTGCTGGGCGTGGCAGGGGCTGGGGGTGCCATGTGTTGGCGGAGACGGCGGGCCAAGCCTTCGGAGAGTCGCCACCCTGGTCCTGGCTCCTTTGGGAGGGGGGGGTCTCTGGGCCTGGGGGGTGGAGGTGGGATGGGACCTAGGGAGACTGAGCCTGGGGAACTAGGGATAGCTCTGCGGGGTAGTGGGGCTTCAGATCCCCCCTTCTGTCCTCACTATGAGAAGGTGAGTGGTGACTATGGGCATCCTGTGTACATCGTGCAGGATGGGCCCCCCCAGAGCCCTCCAAACATCTACTACAAGGTATGAGGGCTCCTCTCGCCTGGCTGTCCTGGATCCAGCCCTTCTTGGGGTGTTTCTCCAGTGTAATTTATGGTTGGAGGGATACCTCTAGCATCTCCTTGGCCCCCTTTCCCCCACCAGCTCCTTTGCTCCTCCTGGCTGTTGCCCTTTTCTCCACTTGTAGGATTCCTTACGACTTCCACCGAACCACCTTCTGCCCTATGGTTGGCCTTGTGTGCCCTGTCTCTGTCTCTGGGTCCTATTCCCTTGGGGAGGGTGCAAAGACTCAGCCTCCTCTTCTGACCATGACCCAGGGATCTTTGCACCCCTTACCCACAGAGAGCTAGGGGTGGGAACAGTCTCTCTTTTGGTTGGCACATCTTTCTTTCTGTCTCTCACTTTTTCTTCTCTTCTCTTCTCTTCTCTTCTCTTCTCTTCTCTTCTCTTCTCTTCTCTTCTCTTCTCATTCTTTTTCTCTCTATTCTGTCTCTAGGTCTGTTCTTTTTCCCTAGCATCCTCCTCCCTACATCTCCTTTTACCCTTGCTTGGTCTTCTTATCCTGTGTCTCTCCCATCTCCTGGGTGGGGGCATCAAAGCTTTTATTCCCTGAGCTCCCTCTTCTGACCTCTTACCAACCACTCCTCAGTCTGCCAAAATGGGGGCCTTATGGGGAAGGCTCTGGCACTCCACCCCAGCTCAGAGCATGGGCAGCAGGGCCTCCTTCTCTGCCCTGCCCTAGGCCTCTACATACTTATTCCAGCCATTTGGGGTGGTTGGGTCACAACAGCTACCATGAGAAGAAGTGTCCTGTTTTGTCCAGTGGCCAATATCAAGATATGAACTGGTCGTGACACATATGGACTTGATCTGATGCTGAATGGGCCACTTGGGACAGGAAATGACTTGCTCCAGACAAGAAGTGACCAGGCCTGGACAGAAGTGGCCTGGGAAGTGGCAGAAGCAGAGCAGCAGGAACTGGAAGTGCCTTCATCCAGGACAGGAAGTAGCGCTTCTGAAATAGGAAGTGGTCTGGCTGGAGGTGGATGGTTCTTACTCTGTGGAGAAGGGTGGGCAGGAAGAGCTTCCTGTTTCGGGAGGAAGCTGGAACTTACTGACTGTAAGAAGATAGGGTGGACTGAAGAGGATTTTCCTAGTATTAAGTGGCACGTCCCAGAATCTCCCTTCCCTTGTTCTCTGTGCTGCTTTTAAGACAGCTATGATGACTGCCATCTGCTGTGGCAAGCCCAATTTGTCTTGTTCTTCTTCCCTTTCCATATCCCAGTATAATCACTGTCACTCAACAGGACTACCCTAAGAACCCATGTGTTGTCCACCAGTAACCCAGATGGCTGTCTTGTTCATCACATCCTCCATTTCCTAATCTCTTCAAATTCAACACAGCTCCCTTCTTAGTGACCAAAATGGTGGCCTACTGACTGCTCTAGCTGATAGTGGCACTTACCAACTGCCACTGTTTCCATCATGACCAACTTATACCTCTTCCTGCCCTCTAGTACACAACTGGGTATTGCCTCAGTTTCCTCCCAGCTCAATTTCATTAGATCAGAGCTGCCTTTGGGCACCAAGTCAGCCACCGTAATCACCAGCCAATATGGTTGCTTTGTCCACCAGAGGTCAAGTCATCTCTCTGGTGTAGTTCCCAGCTCCTTCCTGATTTTTCTAATTGTTCCATCCAGGGAACTGGAAGTTGATGTTGCCATGGGGACGTGGTGGGATATGGCCGTCACCTCAATAGTTTTACTGTAAAAGGGAAATTTGAACAACAAAAACCAAAAAAAGAATAAAAAACTTCAAAAGTTGATGAGAAGGCTGGAGAATGACTGGACATGAATTGGGACAGAGAACTGGTGGTTAGAGTGGCTTTCAAGCTGAGAGTTGGATCACATGAAACCTGGGTAGAGGGCTGGGTTAGAGGGGTGAGACGGGCAGTGCTTGGGCGGAGGATAGTAGGCTGGGTGAGAAGGCTGAGGAAGGTAGCCACATCCAGGGGAGGGAGAGGAACCCAGGCAGGAGTGGGAGTTGCCAATACATCCAATGGGGATGTAATGAATATACGTTCACGTGTGGGGAAAGCTTGAGTGTCTATTGCTAAACCAAAGCACTGGAGATAAGGCAAATCACAATCAGAAACAGTGGAAAAAACATGTTCATGTGTTCAAGTCTGTTCTCTACCCACCCCTGCCCAAGGCATCTCTGATGTGAAGAGTTTTACTGTGGGGAGAAGGGGTGTGGCTGCCCAGAAGCCTCAAGCTGCCTGTCCCCTGGCTCCCTGTATACCCACAACCTAGATAGGCTCGTCTCCCCTAAAAAGCCCGGGTGCCCAGCCCCCTAGACTCAGCCCCATTCTCCAACCAGAAAAGCAGCCGTCAGGAGCATCATTGGAGCCCCGTTGGCAGGGGTCACAACCTCTGGCCTGTCTGCTCCTCCCCTGATTCTAGGTCCCCTCCCGCTGTCTCCCATCTGCCTGGAGGTCAAGGGGTCCTTCTGCCCCTCCTCTGTCCAGTGGGACCCCTGCCCCTCCCCCTGTCTGAGCAAGATGCCTGGGTCCCTAGGGGTGCAGGCATTGTAGGAGGGAAATTGAAAACTGGGAGGCCAGGTGCTGGGCTGTCTGGAATGAACTTCTGCATTCTGAGCCCAAATTGGAGTTGCCTGAGGTGGGGAAGCTTGAGGGTGGTGGAAGGGCTGGTCCCTTGCCCCTTAGTGGGGGTTTGTTGTCATGGCAACATCCCCTTCTCCTCACAATGGGAAGCCCCCCTCAGCCTCCCGCGTGGATGGAGCCGACAGCCCCATCGCTGGCTATCAGCCTCAGGGACTTGGCAACCGTCACTATGGCAACCCAGAGCCCAGCAACAGGGCCCAGTGAGAAAGGGAGGGGTCCAAGACTAGGGCAGGGCTGTGTGTAAGAGGGGACAAGGGAGCTCAGGGAGACTCCCCCTATTCATACATCTAGAGGCACAGGTGGAAACAGAAGAGGGAGGAGAAGTCGGGATAAATAGTCTTTGTGACAAACACCTCACCAAAGCTGCTGAGACATCATAGCATGCTGAGAGACAGGAAGACACCTGGGGACAGATGCACAGCTGAGGAGAGAAACAGCACTTTCTGCATAGCACCTTGGAACACACCTCCTTGGAACACTGGCATCTATAGATTCCCTACCACCTCCAACATTAACAACACAAGACTTACAGCTTTCCACATGTGTAGTGATTTGTGTATCTTTTGAGCTATTTGAGCTAGTGGCTTCCACACAGAACAACACATGCCATTCTATTCACTTTCTGGCTACAAGTACACAAATACACTCCAAGGGTAACAAGTACAACAAAGCAAATAGAGAGGTAGGAAGACATTCATTTGTTCATTCAGTCATTCATATACTCAACATCATATTAAGTGTCTACTTTGTTCCAGGTACTGTTTCAGATACTGGGAGTCTATGGTGAATAAGGCAAAGTCCCTGCTTTGGTCAAGTCCACATTGTGGTGGGAACAACAGCATAAAATTCCAGGTAGTGATAAGTGTTGTGAATGTAACAGGATGAAGAGGATGGAGAGTAACAAGGAGGTGCTTTGATTAGGAGGTCAGGAAAGTCCCTTTGAAAAGGTGACATTTGATGATGACCTTGAATAATGTAGAATAATGCATGCAGCACAAGGAAGGGCATACCTCATAGAGGGAACAGCAAGTGCAAATCACAGAGGTGAAATCTTGGAGTGTTTGGGAATAGTGAGAAAGACATCACAACCTCACATACATTCCAGATGTGTCCTGTCCTTCCCCAGCCTCCACTTGTATCTATATTTAGGGAGTTGATCCAACTCAGTCTTTCATTTGTTCCTCCTTTGTTTCTCATGCATATGTGAGCTGTGTTTTCCTCAACTAAATTTTAAGCTCTGGGAGGGCAAGGATGGGTGCTCTGAGCTTCTTGGGGGCTGTGGTACAGCTGCTGGTACAGAGTTTAGAGCAGGCAGGCAGAGTGGAAATAAATGAACTGAGAGGGCTGGGGACCCCAAAAGCGAAAGTTGCCCCCACCCAAACTGCATAGGATTTAAGCTGTTCTGGGGGCTGTAATGCAGACAGGAGTTCAGACTTTGCCGTCCTTGCAAACAGAAGCAGGATATAAATGAGGCTGAGGCGTGTGTGTTTGTGTGTGTGGTTTATGTTGGGGGTTTTAAAGAAAGGAAAATACAGCAAAGGGTTACAGGGGGGAATTTGTGATGGGGAATGGTTGACATAACAACTGAAATTTCAGTGAGAATGAAAAGGGGGAGCTTCCTAAGGGGCTACATGGGGAATCATGAACATGGGGCACCCCCTTACCCAGGGAAAGTTTCGAGATCTGTAGGCAGGCTGAGAGAAATGTTGCAGGGTTTGGAAGCAAGGGGTTGGCCAGGATGGACTCAGAGAGGTGGGTGGGACTCAGAGAGGTAGGAAAAAGGATGCAGCATAAATGGGAGTGAAAACTGGGCAGCAGGAGAAAGGTTTGGAAGGTAGCAGAGAAGGTACAGTCCTGAAGGGAGTTTTGTGGGGACCAGGTTCCAGGCACCCCTGATTCCCATAGGGAATTGAAGCATTCGGCGTTCTGGTTCTTCCATGTCCCCCAGTTGCTATCAGAAACTCAGGCATCAGCTCCCTCCAACCCCAGTGGCTGCTGCTGGTGGTGGGGAGATTGAGAAGCCTCAGGGGGCGGCAGCTGGTGAGTGGGGTGGAATCTGTGTGCTCAGCAAACAGCAGCCTCAGTGCCCAGTGGCTGCCTCCTCCCTCATCAATCAGCCCCAGCCAAATGTCCTTGCATTCCCACCACCCCAAGGGGACTGGGGCTGGGCCAGGGTCCCCAGGGGAGTGAAATGGGGATGGGTGGGGGAGGCGGGGGTGGTGCTTGGCTTCCCATCTCTTGGCTTGTTCTCTCCTCTCCTGGAAGATCTATATACCATGGAATGACTCTCCTGGCCCTTAACCATCGTGAGGGCATCAGTTACAAATCACCTGTGGGGGTCTGCTAGTGGGGAGGTTGTGGGGAAGAGGGATAAGTCAGGGATGAAGAGGAATCAACTCTGGTTCTCACGGGACCAGCCCAGGGCACAGTCTGCAGGGAGGCTGTTGGCACAGAGGCCCTGTGCCCCCAGCTGGCCTCTCCATCCCTGACGGATGCTCTAGACAGCAGGCTAAGACCTTGACCCCTGAATGTCCTCTCTTCCCATCTTCTCCTAGCCCCCACCCCTCACTTCCCACCAAGATGCAGAGGTCTGGTTCCCAGTTCACCCCAAATCTGTTGCTCCCCACTGGGGACTGGAGCCTCCAGACCTTAGCCTTGGGCTCATTCTCCCCCTCTCCCCGCCCTGCCCCAGCCCTTGCTCCCCTCAGGGACCCAGGCGTCCTGCCCACTCCCTTCACCATAACAACCATTCTTTTGGAGTTGCTTAAGACTTTAATATCATTTCATTAAGTCAGCTAGTTCAGAGAAGGTTGGGGGCACAAAGAGACTGGGGTGGGCAAAAGAAGGCCAAGGTAGGGGGGAAGCAAGGGAAGAGCCCCCTTCTCTCCGTGGAGATGGCTCTGAGAAATCAAATATTGACAGTGAGAGAACAGAATTTATTAAAGCTGCGACAGGGGTGTGTGTGTGGGGAGCTGTGGGAATGGCCGGATGCCTGGGTTCTGAGGGTAATAAAGGTTCTGGGGGGAGGGAAAAAGTTTGAAGTTGGGAGGATACAGTAAGACTAAGGGTCTTGCTGGTACAACTCTTCTGCCACTGGTACTGAGTCTTCCTCCCCCGGTTGTTTCTCAGCTTTCCTCAGAGCCCCTGGGGAGGAGACCCCCATCACAGCTGTGGTTGGCCCCCCTCTTCATCTTTTCCCCCTACCTCCACCTCTGTTGATGAGCTTTGGCAGCGTTTAATCGGATTGAGCAGTAATTAGCAAAGTGATGTTTGATTACCTATTTAGCATAATGTAGGGGGCTGGGATCACTAGGCACAGCCAAAGTTGCTGGGGGTGGGAGTCAGAAAAGAAATGGGGTC